CAATCCTCCTGCCTCAGCCTCCCAAGTAGCTGGGACTATAGGCATGTGCCACCATGCCGCTAATTTTTTGTATATATATAGTTGGCCATTAATTTGTTTCTATTTATAGTAGAGACGGGGTCTCGCTCTTGCTCAGGTGTTTCGAACTCCTGACCTTGAGCAATCCGCCCGCCTCGGCCTCCTCCGAGAAACCCTTCCACTTTAGGAGGTACTCCACTTTGCCCTTTACCACTCGACGGTCGAGAACTTTTTCCACCACATATTCCTCTTCCTCCTCTTCTAGCACCTCCTCCACTTTCTTCTTGTTTTGTTTTTTCCCCATAGTGCCCGCCAGCTTTCTGGTGAAAGGGTGACGCTGCTAAAATGACAAAGGAAATAAAATGGGGATCAGGGCACACTCTTATTGGTTAGATGAGTATTTGGATGGCAAGAAAACCAGGGATACCATAGATGACCTTAATAGTGTATGCTGCTTTATAATGTTAATGATTGTTCATCTTCAATACAGAAAGTTCTCTGATATATTCAGGCAGAATGTTAGTTCATAAAACAGCCCCAACTAACTTCATAGCAAACTTCTTTATTCTTGCATGTCCATTTAAAAGTTTTATATCCATTCTTCCTAGTTTAAAGAGGTTCCCAATATCCCTTTTCCCAAAATAGAAAAGCAATCCTCCTAATGTATATACATCAAACTTACATACATATAACTCACTGACCACTGACCCATACTTTCTATTTTCTGTATGTTTTCTTTCGTCAAAGTACTGGACTTAAATTTTTAGTGTGGGGAACAGCTTGTTCTATTAAACACGTAGTTGAATTTTTCCTTTTATGTATGTGTGTGTATATATGTATATATATAAATATAATCCATTCTTCTGTATTGTTAAAACATCATCTTTTGAAAAGTTCCCTTATTCTTTATGCAGTCTTTCCTGAATGCCACCATAAATTTACAATTTACAAGTTTAATAACTCTTTTTTTTTTCTGAGACAGAGTCTCACTCTGTTGCTCAGGCTAGAGTGAGTACCATGGCGTCAGCCTAGCTCATAGCAACCTCAAACTCCTGGGCTCAAGCAATCCTCCTGCCTCAGCCTCCCGAGTAGCTAGGACTACAAGCATGCACCTGTACTACACCATGCCTGCCTAATTTTTTCTATATATATTAGTTGGCCAATTGATTTCTTTCTATTTATAGTAGAGACGGGGTCTTGCTCTTGCTCAGGCTGGTTTCGAACTCCTGACCTAGAACAATCTGCCCGCCTCTGCCTCCCAAAGTGTTAGGATTACAGGCATGAGCTACTGCGCCCGGCCAGATTCTTGCCTAGCTTTATCATGCCTCTGATTTGGGGACTGTGTTTCTTCCTGGAGGGAGATGCTTTCAGGTTTTCAGAATTCGGATTGCCCTATTACAAGTATTTTATGAGGAAAGAAAAATCTAATTAAATAAATGCAGTAGTGTTCTCTACCAAGGAGAGTGCTACTCCTTGCTTGCTTTCCTTCACTGTCAGTTGGAGAATAAGATTCACTGTCAGTCTTTAGTTACAGTGCAGGGAAAAGTAAATTGACAATCGCCTTTTAGGTAACAAGGGCTACTGCAACTCCCTACATTAATTTGGACTTGGAAATTGGGAGATACTCCCTTTTTCATTTTAGCTTTTATTTTAAAAGACTAGTCAAGTACAGTAGTGAGAAGAGGGGAAAGTAATAGAACAAGTAGTTCAATCTGCAATGGACTGTGAACAATCAAGTGAGATAACTCACTACTTTCGGATCAGCCTCCCTTTTTCAATAGATGGATGGAAAGCAATGGGTTATGGACTATCCAAAAATCAATAACTATCCCCTAATAACCTATCTTCCAGGTAACTAAAGAAAGTAAAGGATAGGCATTCTATCATTATGGTTTTAGTATTCAGAGCTATTTAAGGATCTGTGTTATCTACATTCATAACTATATATTACCCACCTGATCCTGCCAAAAGGGTCAGTATAGCCTCTGCCTGATCTCTAGCTACTACAAGCCTCTCCTCCCCCTTTATCATTAGTATGGCTTCAAAGAATAAGTCATAGAATACGAATAGTATAATTATGTTAGGTAAAGAAAGCCCCCAAAATGGAGAAATCTAAAGTAAAGTGTTCTTGACTTTCATCTTTACTCACTTTTTAACTATTGTCTTAATAGCAACTCGAATGAAGTGAAGAATGTAGACAAGTTCCTGCTTCTCCTTGGGCTTTAACTGGCTCATCCCAGAGCATCTATCTACCTCCAGACTGGATTCTTTACACTTGAAATTCTCTGCCAGGCCTCCCAGTGTGAGGTTTTTTTCTAGTGTACAGCTAGTTCTCTAGGATCTGGAAAAAGTTGTTTGTCAAAATTAGTAGAGAAGTAGATTAAATGTGCAACCCACTTTTCCTATAGAATCTAGCACCTTCAGACAAGCCATGGGAACCCTTAAACATTATTTATGGGCCAATTGTTCTCATAGTTTCCAACTGGATTATTTCAAGAGAAATTCCCTCTCCCTCAATATGGCATTTTCCAAACACCAGCAGGTACACCTGGAAGGAGAGCTACTGGAATTGCTTGGCAGGGAAATTTTGAGGTAATCCCAATCAGTGTAGTAGCACAATGGAAAAAAATGCCTTTAGTCAACACTACTTGCCACTCCCCCTAAGCACCTTGGCGACTGGATCATTTACGGCATCAAAATTGCCATAATTATTGAGCAAAGGGTCAAAACATGATAAAACATCACAAAATGTACACAAGGGCCAATAGTCCTGGATTAACTCAGAAATCTTAATCCTAAACAATCCTAATCTTGACAAAATACTCCAAGCTGTTTTAGTACTACCACCTTTGATGATAGGCAATTTTACTAGATGTTCTTAAGGTTTATCACAATGTTACAGACAACAAAACCCCTAGAGTTAATTATGTTGCCACAATTTTTACCTAAATATTTACTGAGTCTGCAACATTTAGGATTGCTAGAAAATACTTCACAGTTGTATTGCGTTTTACAGTTTACTAAGTACTACTACATTATCTCATTTGATCCTAAAACCATGCTGAGATAAACCATTCAGATAGTATCTCCACTTCACAAACAGAACAGATTTAGGTGAAATTACCTAAAGCCACACAATTAACGAAGAACACAGCACTTTACTAAGGACATCTAGCAATGCTTAGGTAACTACCCTGCTGCACACACAAAACTAGTAGGTAGCCACAAACCTGCAGGGAAACCTCCCTCCAGCCTGTACAAGGAAAGGACACATTCCTTCCCCTTGTAATTCAAAAAAAGGGGAAAGGACACAAAGGTCTCTTGAGATGGCCCCTCCCTACAACCTGTCATCAGTAAACTGAAAGCAATTGATAATGATTTTTTTCAGAAAAGACCTCGGAAGTTATGTTAAAAAACCAATGACTTTTAATTGGTTTCTGGAATATGAAGGTATGAATAATTATTAATTAAATAAGCAGGCAGCAACAAAGCTTTGGTGTTTTTTGTTTTTTTTTTTGAGACAGAGTTTCACTTTGTCGCCCAGGCTAGAGTGAGTGCCCTGGCGTCAGCCTCACTCACAGCAACCTCAAACTCCTGGCCTCAAGCAATCCTACTGCCTCAGCCTCCCAAGTAGCTGGGACTACAGGCATGCGCCACCATGCCCGGCTAATTTTTTCTATATAATTAGTTGGCCAATTAATTTCTTTCTATTTATAATAGAGATGGGGTCTCCCTCTTGCTCAGGCTGGTTTCGAACTCCTGACCTCGAGCAATCCGCCGGCCTCAGCCTCCCAGAGTGTTAGGAATACAGGTGTGAGCCACCGCGCTGCGCCTGGCCTGTTGTTGTTTTGTTTTGAGACAGAGTCTCCCTCTGTTACCTCAGAACTCCTGGGCTGAAGTGATCTTCCTGCCTGAGCCTCCTGAGTAGCTAGGACTACAGGCACGCACCACAACTGGCTAATTTTTCCTATTTTTAGTTACCCAGCTAATTTCTTTTCTATTTTTTTAGTAGAGACTGGGGTCTAACTCTTGCTCAGACTGATCTTGAACTCCTGAGCTCAAGCAATCCTCCCACCTCAGCCTCCCAGAGTGCTAGGATGACAGGCATGAGCTACTACTACTCATGGCTAAAGCTTTGGTTTTTAATGCCCCAGTAGTTTTTGAGTCTTAAATTGACAAGTACAGAATTTTTAGTTAAACATCCAGCAAGTAGGTTACAAAGAGGACTATTAAGAAAGTCCCAATTTTAAGAAAACAGAATTTATTTATTTTTTTTGAGAGAGTCTCACTCCACTGCCCGAGCTAGAGTGCTGTGGCATCAGCCTAGCTCACAGCAACCTCAAACTCCTGGGCTCAAGCAACCCTTCTGCCTCAGCCTCCAGAGTAGCTGGGACTACAGGCATGCACCACCATGCCTGGCTAACTTTTTTCTATATATGTTTTTAGTTGGCCTATTAATTTATTTCTTCTTCCTTTTTTTTTTTTTTTTTTAGTAGAGATAGGGTCTCTCTCTTGTTCAGCTGGTTTCAAACTCCTGACCTTGAGCAATCCTCCCACCTCAATCTTCCAGAGTGCTAGGATTACAGGCATGAGCCACTGGGCCCGGATGAAACCAAAATTTACAATGTCTCAATGAATCCAGGAATAGCATAAATCCAAAGCAAGAGTAAAGAACTCATAGATTTTTAAAGAGAAAAAATAGTACTGTTGTGATTCCTCATCCACCCTCCCTCCACCCCTGCACTTAGGAGCTAGAAAATGAGAAGGAGGAACAATGCTACTTTAAGGTAGGCTGTAAAGTATGAAACACAAGATTAGGCATCTTGTTTATTTAAATAGCCTGTACTGTGCAAGGGTATGAGGATGATTTGAAAAGCCAGTGTGGGCATAGCTCTTGGCTGCCACTATGAATCATAAAGGGCTACCCCAGGAACTTACATGATAACAGATTTTTTGCCAGCTTGAAAAATCAAATTCTAGATGTGAGGCCAAGGTAACAACTACAGACTTCAGAAACTGAACCAGTAGGGCTTCCAGCTAAATGCTGAGGTGAAGCATTTATTATAAAATTCTGGTCTGGTGAGATGATTGTCTTAACTGAGGAAGAATTTACAGGAAAGCAAACTTTGTCAAGAACTTCCACCTGGCCTGGCACTGTGGCTCACGCCTATAATCCTAGTACTCTGGGAGGCTGAGGCAGGCAGATTGCTCAAGGTCAGGAGTTGGAAACCACCCTGAGCAGGAGCAAGACCCCTGTCTCTACTAAAAATAGAAAAAAATTAATTGGTCAACTAAAAATATATTTTAAAAAATTAGCTGGGCATGGTGGCACATGCCTAT